AAAGTGCTGGGATTACAGGTGTGAGCCATTGCACGAGGCCAAGAAAACAATTGTCAATACATAGAATTCCAAATTTCACATTCAAAGCAGCTATTTTTATTTGAGATTTATAATCTAAACATTCAACCCACAAGCATCAGAATGTTTGCTAATCAATAATAAAACTAAAAATTGCTCATCTGCACTTAAAATATTAATAAAGTTATGTATGTAACAAAATATTCTATCATAATTATAATATCAAAACTAAGATTGCTTTATAAAATATATTGTTTATTTGTACCCATAGTTTGGTAGCTTATTTATATAAATATAAAGTATAATTGAGTGTATATGTTTTTCCTAACCATTAGAACAATTATTGTTTTAAATTTTTTCTTAATGAATGCATTTTATAATTAACATGTGTTAAAGTTATTTAATACACTACTCTTTATGTGTGCTCTATATTCTTGGCTTTGATTTCCATTTTAAAATAATTTCAATTTTAACTCCTTGAGCACAATGAGAATTTACTTTGCTGGTTTTTTGTACTCTTATATTTTGTCAATATTTATGTCAAACATATGTGTGATATATGTATAACTCTGTGTGTGTGTGTGTGTGTGTGTGTTGTTTCTATGTGATTTGGTATTACCAGCCATTTATCTTCAGATATCTTTTCTTATGTTTGACCTTGTATTAAGGGCATGGCCTTGGGAAAATAGAGGCAGTGGACCCAACTGAAGTAAATTTACTTACATTTCTCTATAAGTACATATATCCCTCTTTTCTCAGAGAAGATTAAATTGTATTCCAAGGTATTAAGATAATGTCCTTCTCCAGATGGGGAGAATAAGCAAGTTCATGGTCAGTCTCCATATAAAATCAGGGTTTCTTACTCTCAGGGTTCACCTCTTGTAATGCAGCCCACCACATGACACAGAAATCTCATTGTCTTCGGTGTGTCACCTTGGGAGAACTGGAGCATAAGGAATTGAGACACGATCTTTCCGAGCTTGGCTGTTGCTATTTCCCTGTTGTCTCTGACTCCAAGCCTTTGTGTCGTCTGCCAGGATCTATGAGATTTTGATGGACTAACTGACTTGCAAGCTTAAAATTATGGTAAAACCCCAGACTTTTCATAACTCCTAACTTGACGTTTTAATATATGAAGATAATATGGACAAAAGTGGCCTATTTTTATAAAAAGACAATATGTTAGAATTATAACATGTATATAGCATGTGTAAAGATATATAAATCTATAGTACAATATGTGTAGGCATACAGATATTTAACATAATGATAAAATGTAAAGTACAAATTCTCTATGAGGATATGAGTTTAAATGTGCAAGAAAGTATGGAATACTTTTTTTGTTTTAATGTACAACATAGTACATAGGTCTAGGGAACACTGAAAATTTTTATTTTGTTCTTTCCCCCGCTTCTACTAACCTTTGTTATTGTTGGTACTATCTGATTGATGTATAAATTCCAGAAATTCAGAATGACTGATAGTTACTGTGTAGTTCACATAAAAAACATTCTTAACAGAAAATTAGACTAAAAAGGGAAGCTGTATATAAATTAATATCATAATTCATTTCATATCTCTAACAAAATCTGGAAATATTTCCTAATGGAATATTCCCTAATAGATGAGTGAAATGTTAATCAAAATAGTTTATAATGGTGACACTACTACTGTAGCATGCTAGACGGTGCACATTTCAAAAAAGAAAAAGGCTTACATAGGACTTAATATTATATATAAATCAAGAAATATATGTGGTAATTCCATATAAGCAGCAGGATTAAGATGCATACCTGATGTCCAATACCGTGTGAGAAGCAGCACTGGAATTCATGCATTCGAGATACCTTTTTACCCTCACTGTTTAAACACAGATGTTTTCAAGGACAAAAAATGTAAAAGCAGAATCCCCGAAAATTCTGCCTTCCACCTCATTACCTGGGAATCAATTAAGATATTGTGTCTTCCTCTAGTAATTATTAATCTTATTGTATGCATTAGACTGGCAGAAATATAACTTGATAGAATTCAACATTTTATTAAAACTTTTATTTTGAGCTGCCATTCCTTTGAGCTGGTGCAAAACCTAAACTTGAACCTCACTTGTGATTTCATACCATACCCAGGATAATAAGAAGGATACACGAAATTCATGTAATGTGAAAGTTTGGGGGAAAAGGAGTTTCTTACTCTCAGATAATCTTTGAAACTTGACAATGCCTTAAATCATTGTAAAACTTTGGGTTTGGTGACTGGCTCCCCAGAGTTCCTTCTACCTGTGGTAATCGTGCATCCATTTCTTAGTAGATTCTTCTGGTATATTGCTGCCACTAGGTGTTTTGTGTCAGAAGTTGGGTGCTCATTCTATCTCTATAGGGAGCCATAAACTCTCTGTTCTCCAGCGTATTTTAAACTAATATATTCTCTAATTGAGCATAATTATCTTTCTTGGGGTGACTGTTATTAGGACAGTTTGTTTGATGTTTGTTTTCCTATTTATCTCATTCCCTTCTCAAGCCACCTAGTTATGTGAATTATTGTTTAAAATATTTTATTTGTTTAGTGTTTTAGCTACTCATTATAGTAGTCAACTAGAAAAAAATTATACTTAACCTGTAAGAATGTTATTAAAAAAGACAAAAAGAGTTTTATTTTATTTTATTTTACTTTAAGTTCTGGGATACATGTGCAGAACGTGCAGGTTTGTTACATAGGTATACCTATCAACCCATCATCTAGGTTTTAAGTTCCGCGTGCATTAGGTGTTTGTCCTAATGCCCTCCCTCCCCCTGCACCCCACCCTCCCGACAGGCCCCGGTGTGTGATGTTCCCCTCCCTGTGTCCATGTGTTCTCATTGTTCAACTCCCACCTATGAGTGAGAACGTGCAATGTTTGGTTTTGTGTCCCTGTGTTAGTTTGCTGAGAATTATGGTTTCCAGCTTCATCCATGTCCCTACAAAGGACATGAACTCATTCTTTTTTTATGGCTGCATTGTATTCCATGGTGTATATGTGCCACATTTTCTGTATCCAGTCTGTCATTGATGGACATTTGTGTTGGTTCCAAGTCTTTGCTATTGTAAATAGTGCCGCAATAAACATATGTGTGCATGTGTCTTTATAGCAGCATGATTTATAATCCTTTGGGTATATACCCAGTAATGGGATTGCTGGGTCAAATGGTATTTCAGATTCTAGATCCTTGAGGAATTGCCACAATGTCTTCCACAATGGTTGAACTAATTTACACTCCCACCAACAGTGTAAAAGGTTCCTATTTCTCCACAGCCTTGCCAGCATCTGTTGAAAAATCTAGTTTCAATATTACAAGAATATATTGAAAGTATGCTAAGGTAGTAGAACTACATAAAAATATAATTTTAAAACTGTTTATATATAAGTACAATATGAGCAGCCAATCTTTCTTTTTCTAAGAAAATGAAACAAAACATACTTTGTTGAGATAGTATGTGCTGAATGAAAATTTTTTTAATAAGAGTTGGAAGATAAACATATATATATAAAATATACATATTTAGTGTTCACTTAAAACTTTCTGAGCTAAATTATCATTTTTTATTTTTTAAATGATATCTATCTAAATTCTTTGAAGTGAAAACTTGTTTAAAATTAGTTTTCTTTGTTGTGTTGCTTTTTGAGATGGAGTCTTGTTCTGTCAACCAGGCTGAAGTTCAGTGGCATGACCTTGGCTTACTGCAACCTCTGCCTATGGAGTTCAAGCCATTCTCTTGTCTCAGCCTCCCAAGTAGCTGGGATTACAGGCATATGCCTGTAATATTTAATATAAATATAAATATTTAATAATATTTAAAAATTTTGTATTTTTAGTAGAGGTGGGGGTTTCACCATGTTGGCCAGGCTGATCTCGAACTCCTGACCTCACGTGATCTGCCCATTGCCACTTAAAGAATTGTATCCAAAAGCATTCAAGTAGCATGCTTTTTTCAGTGCTTTCTCCTAACACTGCCTTGTTAACAGTAGAACTAATAAAATCTTTCTTAGTTTTCTCTCCCATAATTTCTGTTTATGAACTGCCTTCTCTCAGCCTATTCAGCCTTACTCTTTGTCAGCTTAATATCCAAGGGAAGTGCTGTTTCCAGTGTCTGTGTCTATTCTTCCCCTTGGTGAAAGCTCTCTTCTACTTGAAGCCCACTAACCTGGCTTTGCTGGTGCTTTTTCATGACTCACTTTTTTCAGTTATAAAGAACTGTTGTCTGAAGCTTTTTTTGTTTTCGATGTTGTTAAATTTGGTTGTTGACGATAATTTGAAGTTGTTATAGTTTTAAAGTTATAATATTCAGTATAAAGCAAATGTTTTTGATCATTCTAAAGTCTCTGACTATAAATATCAATTTGTAGCTCTTTATACATCCCACATTTATCAAACATATGTAAAACAACTTGATAAATATACATGCATTTTAATAGCTTTTGAATTATGATTGGCATATTTCACTTAAGTTGTATGCTGTTTCCTAAGATTTTAATGAAAATGCAAATTTTTCATGACATAGTTTTTCAAAACGAGGACTGATTTCTTTAAACACAACATTTTAAATTGGTCTAATATTAAATAATATATTTGCAAAAGAAAATTAATTTCTTCCAAGATAAAAATATTACAAATGCACTTTATAAATAGAATTTATTAAGCAAAAAACTTATCTGTTTTATGTATGTTAAAAACGCTAATTAAGAGTTCATCATAAAAGTAATTGTTGAAACATTCAAGTTTAATATGTGAGTTTGGTGATACCGTCATTCTACATATAAAAATTTAAAAATATTTTGTCCATTTATTTAAGAATATTGGCTATGATAGCTAATATTTAGTATTTAATTAGGGTTGGAAGTTGTTTTAAATGTTTTTATATATTTCCAAAACTTATAAAATTTTATGAGATGAAAAATATGTATTTATCTTACAGATGAGGAAATTGTGATTTATTTTCTCGTCTAGGTTCACCTTGAAAGAAATATGGACTCGTAACTGCTACATTACACTGATCCTTTACTTTAATTAAACAGAAAATAGGATACTCCAAATCAGGTAAGGTTCAAAGCTAGATAGAGTGCTAGAAGTAATCTTCTGTTAATTAAAGCACACACTTAATGGATGTGGTAAATATTCTAAGTAGTACTGAGCAGCAATCACTGTACTCTTATATACCAACTGTTGATAATGTTTTGCACAGTTTCCTATAATGGCTAAAAAATAAATCATAAAGCATGTCTAGAGTCAAAACAAGCATTGGCAGAACAGAAGCAGAACAAGATGGCTGAAGAGAACTCCCTAGCAGTTGTCTCCCCAGACAGCAAATTGAACAACTATCCACACAACCAAGTACCTTCATAAGAGCCAAAAATCAGATGAGCAATCACAGTACCTGATTTTAACATTATTTCAAGGAAAGGGTCAGTGAAGAGGGTAGAAAAGATGGTCATTCATTGCCTCCACCACTTCTTCCCATCCACCCCAGCGGCATGCAGAGAGAGAATATGTGTGCTTGGGGGAAGGAGAGCGAGGTGACTGTGGGGCTTTCCGTTGGAACTCAGTGCTGCCTGTCATAGAGGAACACAATTAGGGCATAATTCTTTCAGTTGTTCACGGAAGGAGAATTTTAACTAGCCCTGGCTAGACGGGAATCCTCCACCCCAACAGCAGGTACCTAAATTCCGGCTAGCTCCACCACCGGCAACTAAAGGACTCTAGGGCTCTGAATAAATGTGCAAGAAACTTAGGCCACAAGAACTGCAGTCCTTGGGCAAGACCTAGTGCTCTGCTGGGCTCAGATCCAGTAGAGTGCGTACAGCTCAGGAAGACACTGCTTGGGCAAGCAAGGGAGTGCTAGAGTCACCCCTCCCCCAAACCCAGGCAGTGCAGCTCTGAGAAACTTCCGCTTGTGGAAAGAAGAAGCAAGAGTAAAGAGGACTTTGTCTGGCAGCCTGGGTACCAGCTCAGCCACAGTAAAAGAAAGCATTAGATTGCCAATACCGCTGATTCCAGGCCCTAGCTCCTGGGCATTTCTAGACCTACTTTGGGCCAGAAAGGAACCAACTGAGCTTGGTAGAGAAGAACCCAGTCCCGACATGATTGACCACCTACTGACAAAAAGGCCCGTGGGCCTTGAATAAACATCAGTAGTAGCCAGGCTGTAGTTACCATGAGCCTTGGGCCAGACCCCGTACTGCGCTGGCTTCAGGTGTGACCCAGCACAGTCCAGATGTGGTGGCCATGGGGGTGCTTGCGCCATCTCTCCTCCAACTCCAGTCAACCCAGCACAGAGAGAGAGGCCTCATTTGTTTTTGGAAATGAGGGAAGAGAGAGAGAAACTCTGTCTGGTAATTCAGGGAATTCTGTGTCTTACTCAAACCCACCAAGGCAGAGGGAATCTGCAAGAGTTGTCGCATCACTGGGATTGGGGCATCCCCTATTGTAGAGATGTCTGCAGGACCAAAGACTTAGATGACAACACTCAAATTTCTTCGAATATGGTAGAATGTCTTCTCAAGAAGGACAGGTACAAATAGGCCAAGACTGCAAAGATTAGAATAAATACTTAACTCTTCAATGCCCAGACATCAACAAACATCCACAAACACCAAGAACATACCAAAAACCATGACCTCACCCAGCGAACTAAATAAGGCACCAGTAATCAATCGCACAGTGACAGAGATTTGTGACCTTTCAGACAGATAATTAAAAATAACTGTTTTGAGAAAACTCTACAAGCTTCAATAAAACACGGAGAAGGAATTCAGAATTCTAGTAGAGAAATTTAGCAAAGAGACTGAAATAATAATTTAAAAAATCAAGCAGACATTCTAGAGCTGAAACATTCAATTGACAAACTGAAAAATGCATCAGAGTCTCTCAATAGCATAACTGATCAAGCAGAAGAAAGAATTGGTGAACTTGAAGACAGGCTATTTGAAAATATCCAGTAGAAGAGAAGAAAGGAAAAAGATTACAAAGAAGAAACATGCTTATAAGATACAGAAAATAGCCTTGAGGGGGCAAATCTAACACTTACTGACCTTAAAGAGGAGGTAGAGAAACTGGTGTAGAAAGTTTATTCAAAGAAATAATAACAAAGAATTTCTCTACTCTAGAGAAAGAATATTCAGTACAAGAAGATCATAAAATACAAAGCAGATTTAACCCAAACAAGACTAGCTCAGGGAATTTCATAATCAAACCCCCAAAGGTCAAGGATAAAGAAAGGATCTTCAAAGCAGCAAGAGAAAAGGAATAAATAACATATAAAGGAGCTCTAATACATCTGGCAGCAGACTTTTCACTGGAAACCTTACAGACCAGGAGAGAGTGGCATGACATATTTAACGTGCTGAAGTAAAAATAATAAAACATTATAAAAAATACAGCATTTCTAAGATAAATAATTCTTTTGGCTTATTTCTGATTTTTGAAAGTGCATCGCTGGGGTTCAGTTAATTAGCATGTGTTTATTTTGTTTTAAACGCAAGGCCTCAGGAAGGAAGTAGACATCAAACCTTGTCAATGTAAATTTCCTTGTTTGAAAGCTATTCATCTTTCATGAGGGTTTGCAGACACTGAATTCTTCTGGGACTAAACAAGTGGGAACAATGGAAGAAATGTTAGACACTGGAAGAGAGACTAGCTGAAGTCTTTGAGTACACTAGGTCACTCTACCTAGTGTACTATTTTGGTTGGACTTGACCCTGTGCAAGAGCAAATCATGGAAATGAGATTACTTCTTTACATTTGTCCTTCTTAGAGTATAACCACCATATATATAGTCTCAACATTTGCTGCCTGTATGTTAGCAAAGATTTTTTTTAATTTTCTGAATATTGTCCTCAATATGGTAGAACAGACTTGTTCAAAGCAAAGTTTTGATGAAATGTTTTCTCAGGAAAATCTGTTTCTGCTGCTAAGAAACTGCCACCTACAACCATCTGTGGTTTTCCATTTCTTGCCAAACTTTTCTGTTGTCTTTATGTAGATACTGTCTTTGTCTCTTTTGTGGTATCCAAACATGGCAAGCACTTCTATCAGTTGCATTCCTTTGCTAAAAGTGTTTTACTCTCCTGCTAAATATTATAGTCTATGTTCATACACATATGCACGCATATTACATACTTTAATATATTGAACACAAAATCATTTTAGCCAACATATTTAAATATTTAATAGAAACACACCACTGTCTTGAAGACTCTTATCCACAATTGGCAGTAGTGTTTTATATAAGAATTATTAATTATAAAATAAAAAGCATGAAAAGGTAGAAAAACTTTAGAGTAGGTCCACATAGAGTTTTTTTTTTTCTTTTTTCTTTTTGAGTTGGGGTTTCACTCTGTCAGCCAGGTTGGAGTACAGTGGTGTGATCAGAACACACAATAACCTCAAACTTCTGAGCTCTAGCTATCCTCTTGCCTCAGCCTCTCTAGTGACTAGGACCATAAGCATGTACCACCATGCCTGACTAACATATTTTATTTTATTTATTTTATTTTGTGGAGACAAGGTCTCACTATGTTATCCAGGATCATCTGAAACTCTTGCCCTAAGCAATCCTCCTGCTTTGGCCTTACAAAGTAGATATAGTTCTAATGGAATAAAATACATGACATGGCAAATAAGAAATACTGGAAATAATAATTATTCACAAGTTTCCAGAATTGAAGAAAGACATGAGTTGTTTAGTAAAAACAACAGAAAAAAATGGTGATTTCCAAGTAGATAAATTATTTACTTATTTACAGATTTCTACTTTTTATTTACTTATTTACAGATTTCTACTTTTGGCTATTACAGGGTACTTCATATCAAAAAAATATTTTACTTAGAACACCTTAAAAGTTAGATAACAATGATGATTTGCCAAAAAAAAAAAAAAAAATTCCTCTGTGAGTTATTGGAAAACAATCAAGTTAGACAGAACTTGAGAAGCTGATTTATAAAGAACACTTAGTTAATTTTAGCTTCTGCTGATTTTTTTAAAGGTTTCTCTGATTAGTAGTGTAAGCCACAATGACTAAATAGAAAATAGCAGTCTAGAATTTTGGGCAATTACAATGGCCTGGAGAAAGATTAATTGAAGTTTATAACTACCACAATATAGAGGGATTTGATATCCAAGATCTTATAAAAAATAGTAAAAGACGTGAAGCCACAAATTCAGGGATGTCAATATTATCTAGCTGGAATAAATACAAAGAAAATTAGTCATAGACAAATCATAGTAATGAATTGATACTTAAAGACAGAGGGAAAATCTTAAAATCACCTACAGAGTTTATTTTATTGTGTAGGATATATAAAACTCAAAATAGTAATATTCTTACTATAATAATAAGAAAAATATGGATAATTTAAATTATGTATATTTTTATTGAGCCCACCAAGGATGCAAGGCAACCAAGTAGTCTGAAATCTAAGGAATGTCAGGTCTCTCTGCAGGAGACAGGACCCAAGCAATTATTCACCTATGGCGTAGCATAGAAAAAAAAAGTGTTCCATAAAAGTGGGCACAAAGACACCAGCTAAAATTGTTATCATTTGCTAAAGGTTAGTTGTGGGCTAGCATAAGCATACAGAAGCCCTTGGAACCATAGGCATAAAGTTATCCATCTTCTCTGTAAACCTCTACAAGTGATCACACAAAGGACTGGATACAGACTGCGGAGGATTTACTACATGATACGTTCATAAAGAATGAATCAACGTCTGGAGCCTCACACAGACCCTTTTCCATTGAGTCAGCAGGAGAAATGGAGAAATGATGTTACTGCCGGGCAAAAAAAGGTAGAGCAATTATAGCCGGGAGAAGGATAAAGGAAAATAAACCTCTACTCATTAAGGTATGGTAAGAGAAAACATGGGACTGGATACTTTATACCAGTATCATTACAAGTCTCCTGCCACTGAGGGGAAATCAGAAAACGCTTTCCTTTATAAGGCCTACCAAAGATACACACTGAATTTTACCTGCCATGGGGGAAAGAGGCAAGATCACTGAGAATGTCCCTGTCTTAAGATCAGATTAGAAGATTGGACCAGGAGTACAGAGAACTGTCCCTGCTCCTCATCAATAGCCTAGAACGTGCCAAGTAACTGCAAAACCAGGTCAACGATAGAGGAGGAATAAGGGTGTATAGTGCAATTATCTCTGTGACATAGTCACAACAACCTTATACTGAGTAAAAGCAATCATCATACTCAGACCTTTAACCTGGCTCAGTGATGTCTCTGATGTTGATTACTGATTTTACCAACATGGGATGGAACATGACTGTGATTAATCCAGTAAACTAAATGCTGTATCAGAAAAGGTAAGGAAGATAAATTGCCAGAATTTAAGAATTTAACACACGAAATATAAACTATAAGAAAGACTCAAATGGAATTGCTAGGAGAATAAATAAAAACAGGGGAATGAAAATAATGCCTTAGAAAAGCTCATCAGTAGACTTAATTGTCTTTTATAGAACACTACACAATTGTAGTCAAACTCTTTAAAATATTTTCAAGAGATTTATTCTGAGCTAAATATGAATGACCATGGCCCATGACACAGCCCTCAGGAGATCCTGAGAACATGTTCCTGAGGTGGTTAGAGCACAGGCTGGTATTATACAACTTTGGGAGACATGAGACATCAATCAAATGCACTTAGATGTACATTGGTTTGCCTCAGAAAGGCAGGGCAACTCGAAGTGGAGGTTCCAGGCTATAGGTAAATTTTAAAATTTTCTGGTTGACAATTGGTTGGGTTTGTCTAAGGACATAGGATCAATAGAAAAGATATGTTTGGGTTAAGATAAAGGATTGTGGAGACCAAAGTTTTATTGTTCAGAGGAAGCTTTTAGCAAGCAGGCTACAGAGAGAAGAGGTTGTAAAATGTTTTCTTATTGTACTTAAAAGGGTGCCTGACTCTTAGCTAATCTTCTCCTGGATCTGGAAAGGAAGAAAAACATAAAAAGGGAAAGGGGTTTCTCTACAGAATGCAGATTTTTTTTTCTAATAAGAGACAAGGAAATATATTTGGAGTTAAAAGTGTTTTGATTTTTTTTCTTATTTGTAAGGCGATGTTATGACAGAACCAGGTTGGAAAGCAGGCCACTTTACAGAGGGTTAAATAAAGCCTCTCTGATGAGACTTTATGGTTTGTAGGGCATGACTCCCCAGACCCCTTAGATAGGAATGTGGGCAAGATAAGAAAAAAAAAAGTCAGAGGTTGGTCCTCACAATGATAGCAGAATACACATTCCTTTCAAGTGTGCATGATTCACCAAGATAGATTATATTTTATGCCATAAACACAAGCCAAAAAAGTAAAGACTTGAAATTATACAAAGAACGTTCTTTAACCATGTAGAATTAAACTAGAAAAACACTAAAAAGATATCTCAATAATCTTAATTAGTTGAAAATTAATCACCATGCTTCTAAATATCCCATGGATTAAATAAAAAGTTATAAGAGAAATGAGAATGCATATTCAATTAAATGATAATGAAAAAATAAAATTGGGGATATATATGTAAAGAACTAATAGATTCAGAAAAAGTACTTGTAAGGTTAAGCATTCATTCAAGATCTTTAAAAAGGCACAGATAATTCAGAATTAAGTAGAACTTCTTTAACACAATAGGCATTTACAAACAAATAAAACTTGTCTACAGGTAACATTACACTTAATGGTGAAAGACTGATTCTTTGCTCCCACGGTTAGGAGCATATCAGAATATCTGCTCTCAATTCTTGTAATTAAACAATTCTAGATCCTTATCAGTGCAATAAGTAAAATTAAAAAAAAAGAAAGACATAGAGATGAGGAAAGAACAAATAAAGCTTAAATAGAAACAACATACTTGTTGTTGTCATAAACTTGTTTAATATGGCTGCTTCTTCAGCATTCGTTTTTAAGCCTGGCCTATAGTATCTGAAATCCAGTTGTTTCTTGCCTCCTTTGGCCTAGTTGAAACTTCTCCCTATGTGTTGGTTTGTAATACAGCCTGCTTGCTTCTTATCCTGCTAAGACAAATCCCAACACATACCACAGCTACTGACCATAATAAAACATAATGGTCAATCTGAGAGTCATGCAAACAAACTCTCCCTTTCATGTTGCATTTTCTAGTGACTAATGGTGTTTTCTTTAAAGAAGACAATCCACAATCTCAGCAGGAATGCCTAAGGGATAACACTCATAGACCTAAGTATATCCATAGACTCACAGGTGATCTCTCTTTTGCTCTCTCTCTTCTATCCACTTCCTCCTCATACTCACCTACTGGTTGAGCATCTTGCTGTCTCGAGACTTCTCACTGGCCCTAATGGGTATCCCTCTTTTCTTGTGGATCTGTGGGTAATAAAATGCTTCTGTCACTTTATGTTTTGTTTTGCTGACTCTTCTGGGTCCCACCTGAAAAACACACTCAAACTAAACTCTCCGCCTGTTCAGGGCTTTCTTAGACAGTGGCTGTCTTTGTAGGAATAGACACAGGTGAGACAAAAATCACAAAGGCATCTACCAGTATAAAGTTTCCTATGAGAGGGACATCTGGTCACTGGTTGGACACTTAAGCATTAGGCAGTCCGCCAAGACAAAGATGTATTCAGTGAAAGGAACAAAGTAAACATTCAAGACCAGCTCTTCTGGAGCCCTGTCAGAGCAGGGCTAGAATTTATGTTCACTCTGGACAGAGAGACCTCAAGACCAAATTAGAAAAACCATAACAATAGAAATTGCAGGCCTGTGCGGTGGGTCACGCCTGTAATCCCAGCACTTTAGGAGGCCGAGGCGGGTGCATCACGAGGTCAGGAGATGGAGACCATCCTGGCTAACACGGTGAAACCCTGTCAATACTAAAAAAATACAAAAAAATTAGCTGGGCGTGGTAGCGGGCACCTGTAGTCCCTGCTACTCGGGAAGGTGAGGCAGGAGAAAGGCGTGAACCTGGGAGACAGAGCTTGCAGTGAGCTGAGATCGCACCACTGTACTCTAGCCTAGGCGACGGAGTGAGACACTATCTAAAAATAAAAAATAAAAAGACAAAGAAAAAAAGAAATTACAATAAATATCTATATGTAGATTTTCGAACAAATCTGCACCACAAGCAACTAAGTTTAACAGGTTAATTTAGTAAGGTCACATAATATAAGACTACTATACAAAAATTAATTCTATTTCTCAACACTAAAAATAAATAATTGAAATTAAAATTTTGAGAAGTAGCACTGATTCAGCACCTGAGATCATTTACAAGCTAGGTATAATTTTAACAAACATATGCAATATCAGTGTGCTATCAACTAAAAAACTGATATGAGAGATCAAAGAAGATATAAATTAATGGAAAAAGACCATGTTCATGTTTTGCAAAACGTACACATTTTAAGATGTCAATTCTCTCCAAATTGATTTACAAATTTAACATACTCCCAGTCAAAACTCCAGAAAGAACTTTGCAGAAATATTTTGTAGAAACCCAAAAGTTGTTTATAAAATATGCAAAGAAAACAAAGAAAATAGAATAATGAAAACAATTTTAAAAATGATTTTTACATAACAAAGTTGGAGACTTGTATGAATTGATTTCAAGATGTACTCTCAAGCTACAGAATCAAACGATGTGCTGTTGGTAAAAGTAGAATGACAAATCAGTGAAACACAACAGAGCACCCATAAATAAACCCACTCATATATGGTGAACTGATTTTCTAAAAGTTTCTGGGACAATACTGTGAGATTTTGTGATACTCAATAAATTGTGCACATTTGAACATGTTTATATGCAAATCATATATGCAAATATATGTCCAAATATATTCAAATATGTGTATGCATGTCACAACATATATGTGTCTGTATGTGTGTGTGTGTATGAGATAAATATAAAACTTAGAAAACATAAAAATTATAAAAGAAAACAAATAAATGTTAAATATTTGTGTTCTTGGATTAGGCAAAAATTTCTTTATGTCATGCAAAAAGCACAGAAAACATTCATAGTTTTTTCCTAATCAAAATTAAAATTATCCGTTTTTAAACCTATTAAAAAGTGGAGAAAGATTGAACATACGCATCATTAAAGAAGATATAAGCATGATAAATAAAGAAATTAAAATATACCCAACCACTAGTCACTAGAAAATGCAAACTAAGGCCTCCAGCTCCATCCGTTTTGCTGCAAAGGACATAATTTTATTCTTTTTAATGACTGCATAGTATCCTTTTGTGTATATGTACAATATTTTCCTTATCCAATCTACCATTGATGAGCACCTGAGTTAGAATCATGTCTTTACTATTTTGAGTAACACAGCAATGATCATGAGTGGTAGAATGATTTATTTATTTTTCTTCTGGATATATCCCCAGTAACGGAATTGCCAGGTTGAATGGTAGCTCTGTCTCGAATTCTTCAATAAATTTCCAGATGTTTTTCCACAGTGGCTGTATTAATTTACATTTCCGCCAACACTGTGTAAACATTCCTTTTTCTCTGCAGCCTCATCAGGATCTATTGTTTTTTGGCTTTTAATAATAGCCATTCTGACTGGTGTGAGATGGTATCTCATTGTGTTTGATTTGTATTCATCTGATGACTAGTGATGCTGAGCATTTTGTCATGTTTGCTGGCCATTCATATGTCTTTTTTTGAGATGCGTCTGTTCATGTCCTTTGTGACCTTTGCCCAATTTTCATGGGTTTTTTGCTTGTTGATTTGTTTAAGCTTCCTATACATTCTGGATGTTGGGCCTTTCTTGGATGCATAACTTCTCTTATTCTGTAGCTTTCAGGAACAGAAAACATAATACTTCATGTTCTGTTTTATAAGTGGGAGCTAAACATTGCTTGCCCATGGATATAAATTTGGGAACAATAGACACTTGGGTGACTAGAGAGTGGAGGGAGGGGGAGTGTGTTTAAAAACTACCTATTGGGTACTATGCTCACTATCAGGGTAATGAGATCCACATTACAAAAGTCAATACCACACAATATTCTCATGTAACATATTTGCACATGTATCTTATGTATCTAAAATAAAAGTTGAAATTTAAAAATATATATACTTTAAATGCATATTTTTATGAGCTTAACAACAAAATAAGTGGGTAGTTGTAAAAAAAAAATACAAATTAAAACCACTATGCAATATTACTGAAAACTTTTAGAATGCCTGAATTAAAAGGGATAGGGCCAAGAAATAAAAGAAACCTAACTAGAAGCCAGTGAGTATGTAGATGACACTCACATACATACATTTCTGGTGGGAATAAACTTTTTGAAGAGTCATATTTCACAATAGTTTGCCAATTTCTTGTGAGTTTATGCCTATGCTTACCATATGACCCAGCAATTCCATTTCTAAATATTTATCAACAGGAATGAAAATGCATGCTCACAGTCAAAACCTGTATGTAAATATTTGTAGTGGTCTTTTTATAATTAACAAAATTTGGAAAAATACATATTATTTTCCTGGTAAATAAATAAATGTTCTATAGTGCCAATCCATACGGTGCAATGCTACTAGACAAAAAATAAATAAATAAAAATAAATAAATAAAAGAGTTAATAATATATACAACTCTATAAATAGTTCTTTTTTCTTTTCTTTTTTTTTCTTTTTGAAACGGAGTCTCACTCTGTTGCCCATGCTGGACTGGAGTGCAGTGGCATGGTCTCGGCTCACTGCAACCTCCGCCT